TAAATGGGAAATGTAACCTACGGCAACGGATGCCACTGTTGCTGGACAATTGCAAGTGTACCCCAGTACCATCAGGAATTATCTTCATAGCATAGTTACATTGGCAGACAAAAGCCACTCGTCACTTCAGGCAGTATCGTATGTCTACAGTACTGGGCATCAGAAAAGCTGTCGCACACTTCTGGCTTTTAAAGCACTGTAATTATTTGCATAATTGTTGGACAGTGGACGCATTTAAGTTTGGCAACTGCTTCTAGGAACTTGTATGAACCGTCTGCAAGCCTTGACAAAATACGGCGGAATTTCTGTTATGTGTTCAGTTTGGATAACTGGACAATCGCAGACGGTCTTTGCTGTCCTGTACATCACCGTCCTCAAGCAAAGCCTACCTGACTACACAAGTGACCAGCTCCTGCAACCCTACATCACCGTCCTCGAGCAAAGCCTACCTGTCTGCACAGGTGATCAGATCCTGCAACCCCACATCACCGTTCTCGAGCAAGATCTTTGTCTTCTACACAAGTGATCAGCTCCTGCAACCCTACATCACCGTCCTCGAGCAAAGCCTACCTGTCTACACAAGTGACCAGATCCTGCAACCCTACATCACCGTCCTCGAGCAAGATCTTTCTGTATTTCTACACAAGTGACCAGATCCTGCAACCCTACATCACCGTCCTCGAGCAAGATCTTTCTGTCTTCTACACAAGTGACCAGATCCTGCAACCCTACATCACCGTCCTCGAGCAAGATCTTTCTGTATTTCTACACAAGTGACCAGCTCCTGCTCACTCACCCCACGTCACAAAACAATGGCCGGAAGGTCAGAGCATTACCACTCTCCCGTGTCCAGGCCACTCAAGAAATATGATTCCTGTCAAGCATGTGGTCCACCCTTGATCATTAACTTTTAGGGACACCCTTGCCCAAGTTATTCGTCTGAAGTAAAGTGCAACTCTATCGGTCCCAAAGTTCATGGCTGTAAACACTATGTCTACCAGTTTCTACTATAAATATGGCAAAGGACAGATCCACTAAATACTAATGGTAACCTTGTACCGTTGATTTAATATAACGACATACTTTCTGGAGCGGATGTCTATTTATCTATTCGTAGGCTGCTGCGTAAATGTATTTCGCGCCTGGTTATTAACTTATTTATTTAAATTACTGTAAATTTGTGACCCTGACTCATCCTATAAGCATTAACATTTGTAGTTTTTGGGTGGTGGTGGTGGGGTCGGTGAGTGAGTGGGTAGGAGTATCGGGAGGATTTTTTTGAGTAACTGTTAGTTGAATTTCACATGTCATAAAGAAGTCCTTTTTTAGGTATGTAAGTTACGAATTATGTTGGTGCTTGCTACTTATGTTGGTGCATGCTACTTATGTTGGTGCATGCTACTTATGATTATTTCGGAGATTTATTATGTTGTTAGGTTAAACCAACCAGCTGATGATACCAGTGGACCCAATTCGGGTTTAGAATGCTGACAACATGGTAAAATACTCAAAGTTACAAAATCCTTTCCAAATGATCCTCGTGACTATAAGTTTGTAATGGGCGTACTAAAAATATGTGATTTAAATCAGTAGTCAGCGTTTTACTGAGGTGTTATATTAGATTTTGCGAAATGTTCTGTACAGTGATGCTTTAAATCAGTAGTCAGCGTTTTACTGAGGTGTTATATTAGATTTTGCGAAATGTTCTGTACAGTGATGCTTTAAATCAGTAGTCAGCGTTTTACTGAGGTGTTATATTAGATTTTGCGAAATGTTCTGTACAGTGATGATTTAAGCGTTAACACCATCTTCTACATCCACTTTTTGTTTGTGTCGCTGTAATACTTGATATAAAGCTGTACTTTTTATGAACTAATATCAGTGAAAGTGAAAGAAATGAGTTGTTAATTTGTAGGTTGAAAGTGTAATTATTACTTTCGTACGTAACTATGCCAACTAAAAGATAAAAATTTGTAAATTTCTCAAACTAAATTTGTTAAAAGTAATTTTGTTTTTATCAATAGTTGCTTTGCAGAGAATTTATCAAAACATGATAAAATTTTACATTTTTTTATAGTTCCTAAACGTGAATTTTTGTTCGTGTTAATAATTCAATAGAAATCCATTTTTATTGAATGGCTCGTTATATTTTAAGTATATTTTATACTGGGTACTTAGTGCCGTCCGCTATATCTTCCAGTTTAAAATTATCAAGCTGCATTTCATGTTTATTTATTCATACTGATTCGACGTTCATGTTACTATAGCAACTAAAGGATAACAAAAACAAGTGAAGTTTTATTATTTCGCTGTTATTTTGATAAGTGTAATTGCTTAATGTGAAATGTGTATTATGCTGTAGCAAGAGATATCTGACAGTTAAGTGCTCACATTCTTGATTACAAGGTTTACGCTTTTTTAAGTTCAAAAACGCGCTTAGAATTAAACAGAAAGCTAGTTATACACGTGTGTTTCTGGTGTTAAATGTTTGCTTTGGTGTTACGAAAAAAAACAACAGCTTTAAATGTTCAATTCTTGCAGAAAAATCTGTCATTCACTGTATGGTTTCAATAATATATAACTGTGTTATGATTTTCAAATAATCAAACTGTAAAATACTCGTAATTTTATTATAAGGATTTTAATTTAATAATTCAAACACTTTAAATTACAAACTGCTGTGCCCGTTCCTTGTCTACGTTATGAACTTAAAAAAATAAGGGGGGGTGTAGATGGTATGATAAATTACAGAACAATTCATACAACTTATTTATAACATAACATGTTATTACAGTATTCATTATTACCTCACCAAAAATTTTGTATAAGCTTTAAGAACTCACTATGTATATTCTGAAAATATGGTATCCACTGTGTCAGGGTAACTTTGTACGAAGAGGTAGCGGAAAAAGTAGTGGCGGTAGGGGTGTTTTCTGTTACGTACTTTCAATACCACCTCTTAATGTCATTCCACACCGTTTCACGTTATTAATTAATTGACGATCATTGACCGTAGAAGTGTCTTATGAGACGCAGTTGTAAGGTCATAGGTTAAAGCAGGAAGTTGGTATAACTCAAGAAACGGCTCTTCATATCAGTGTTATGGTGGCTGTTGTCATATAAACTTCATCTGAGATTATGAATTATTGCAATAGTGGCGGCCATTTCCCCCCATTGCATTTCTCCATAGAGAATGCTACAACACTCTCTGAGATATATTAGACATTTGTGTGCCCCCCCGTATGTTGTGTTATAGAAAATTTAATATGTGTGTGTATTTGTTATAACAAACCCTCAACGAGTTATCTGCTGTGTCTACCGAAGGGAATCGAACCTCTGATTTTAGTGCTGTAAACCCACCGAGGGACGGAAAATTTAATAGTTTTTATTTTTGTTTGCTGTAACAGTGTAGTGCTATCTATCTATCCATCTATATATATATATATATATATATATATATATATATATATATACTATATA